TTATATCTTTATGTTTGAAGCCTGAAATGTGGCAAAAGGTTGAAAAGTTCAAGGGGGCCGAATACTTTCGCAAGGCACTGTAGGTATTCTATAGGTTTGTAAGTTGGATTCTTTTTTTCTGGATGGTGATTCTTAGAGGTGGATTCTAATCGAGGTTTTCGGCCATAGGTACTGGGCTTAAGAAAGTACACAGTCATTTCAAGGGAGCCCTAGTTCTACATAGAAGTAAAGCAACATTCTGATTCATTTTTGCTACTGTTAAGAAAAATCTTTTTTTTGTTCAGGAAAGCTTGAGGCTGCATTCATAAAGAGTTCCAAACATCCTTTTTTTTACTTAAAAGGAAATATTAACTGAATACCAAGGTTTGAATACAGACCCTTAAGGCATTTGTCAGATTTTTGGTTTAGTAAGTAGCAGAATTAGTTGAAATGTACAGATTTAGTGTTTTATCATTGTGGCATTCTATACATTTTGAGTTCTAAAACCTGCTTGTATCACATTTTTCTACTAGTATTTAAACAGGAAGTAGTTTTTACAATTGAAACAAATAACATTGGTACAGTAAGATTTTATTTGAAGTTCAGGATAAATTGTTAAATGCTCAAAGAGTAACTTGAAAGATTTATGGAATAGCTTTGTGTGCCTAATTCACTGGTTATAAATTAGCTCCAAGGACAGCTGTGGAAATACTGACTCTTGGTTTAATAATATTAAAACATATTGTGAGATCAGCAGTTTAGCCCAGCAATTGCTCTAACCAGTAATGATTGAGTACTGAAAGTCCAACAGTTCAATTATATTGCATTTGTGATATGAAGCATTGTAAATCTTTTTTTGTACATTTTAACACACTGTTCCCAAACCTATATTAGTGCCTTATGCAAATTTGATTTATTGTATACAGACACAAACATCCCATTACTTTGTCTGACTTTATATTATTATAGATTCTTGTGATCTCTTTGATTATATCAAGGGATGTTGGTAATAGGTTGTAGGCTTTATTTCTATGTTCTGTCGACTTGTTTGCATGCTTCCTGAACATGTAAACATCACCACATACAGACATGCTCAAGAATTTGAAGTGCAAAGATCACCTTGTGAATGAGCCTGAAGATTTTTGTCAGATCTATCAATTTAGTTGTTCATGACGATTGAAGTCTGAGGTTGTCTAATGCACTAACTTTAAAGTTTATCAACTCTGATGAATCTGTTAGAAACTTTGAGAATGGGATATAAATACATTTAATCTTGTTACTTTTGCAAATAGATAAGTAGATACCATTATTCTGTAGGAATCCCTTCAACTCATCTGTTAGAGACAGGATTTTTTTGGGGGGAACTTGCTCAGGTGTGCATCATCTTGCTTCCCCTAAATGCAGAGGTGCTGAGAATTTCATGTTTTATGTGTCTCATGGCTAGAAGACATGCAGTGCAGTGCACTCACGAAAAATGGGCAGCATAAAATACAAATGAAAATGTTGAGCTAAAAATGTAAAAACCCTAATCCTTCATATTATCCATGGGTTACCAAAACACTGAAATGTAGTTAGTATACATGATATGTGCTTTATGAGAGTGTGTTAAGATAATTGAGATGTAAGAGCATTTTACTGGCACTAATGCTTTGCATTGTGTAAACTGCTTAACTGTCATCTGCTAAAAGTCCTGGCCTTGTATAGTAGCCCTTCAGACCAGTTTTAAAAATCTTGGAATTACTGGAGAATTCCTCACACTGGAGTTTGATTTAATGTGACAAATAGGCAGGTAATATGTAATTTAGGATGGTGCTACATTTAGATTGTCCTCTTTTACATGAACAAAAATAGGCATAGTAATATGTTATTTCAATACCATATTTTATATTTACTGTACATTTTTAAATATTAGATAACCATCGATAAAGCCTGTTATTTACAATACATTAAGATCAATGGAAGCTTTTTTTAGCAGAGTTATGTTATTGTGCCTTTGAGTCAAATAGTTGCATTTTACATCTATTACTATGTATTGTCTCAGATTACGCCCACACAGTCTTACCTGCTTAAAGACCTATGGCTATAAGTGAGAGCCAAGCTGGCGGAAGCAGATCTAACAGATATTCCTCAGCCTGTGTCTTCCGTTTTATGCACAGCTGTACCCTTGAAGGCACAAGCAATTTCCTGTAGAACAAAAACATTTGTTTCACTTAATCAGAGAAATAGCATAGTTACGGCAACATCTGTGTCAGTGACCTAGATAATGGATCACCTGGCATCACTCCCCTTTTGTTGCCTTTTCACATCTGTTAAATGAGTCACCTGATTACTTGCAAGACTGTAGTGTCAAAAGCCTGCACAGCGCCCAGTGAATACAGACTACTTTATTCCAGTAGCATTTATCAGCAAATCATTGTTCAGGTACATTGCCTTCACCACTGCCTTTCAACACATTAATTCTTTAATTAAAATCATTGCAACTATGTGTCCCCAAGTGTCTCAGGCCAGAATCACAGAATTGCAGACACTCTAAAGCCATGCAACCAAGGTTATAGGAGAGAAAAGTACAGATCATTCTGTAGTTAACTAAGCAATGATGATAATTTTGTATAATAATATTATGTTGTATAAAAATAAGGTGTGAGTTAAAAGCCAGAAGGATATTTTCTTCAGAACTCTATTTTACAATGTTTTCTTTAAAAATACTTGTAAGAAAATGACAGGCACTTTTTTTGTAGGTACATAAGTGCATGATATGTTAGTATTTGTTATAGTTATAACAACCTAAGTTATATTGCGGGCAGTGAGTTATAGAGCATTAATTAATTGGAGACAAGAATATTCGAGCAATCAGAATATATTTTAATAATTCAGTTTTGAATTTTCTATACTAATAAGCAGTGTAGAAATATTCCAAAAGAGCCTTTTTAATGGACATTTTTAAATGCCAGGCAACAGGTTGTCATGTCTATTTCTCAGTCTAGCCTGTACATCTTTGTCTGGTTGCATTAAATGTTTGCTGTAGGTTTGGCTTCTTCATTTTTACAGTACATTTTGAACTTCGATTTTGTGAGAGATTAATGTTAATGTTAATATATAATGGAAGGTTTTTCTTTCTTTATTAGACCACTTTCTTATAAAGAGTGGAGGGGACTGCACTTTTATCCAACAGTTCATTGAGTGCCAGCGTGAGTACACAGTATTCTTTACACTGCCTTTTCTAGTTGCTCTGATTCAACTGTAATTAATGAGGAGAGGATTGTAAAGGGGCAATTGTTAATATACTTCCTGCCTAAATATAAATGCCTTGCATCTGTAAGGCTATATGCAGCTGGGACTCCAAATGAAGGCTCATGCTTTTATGCAAGTATAATTTTTATCCCTTTATTGGCCAGTGCTGTAATTTGCAAACTGGAAAGATTAGGCTTATAAATGCTGTCTAGTTTTGTTTAAAAATGTGAAAATCCTTTTTACTCAAGGCATATATAAGAACTCACTGTTGGTCAGGTCTTTTTCCACTTAACTCTCCTCCTTAACAATAGTTATTGCTATCTATGATGGGTAAGACTCATTATAACAGTTTTTGTCTGTAGTATTGGTGAGCAATAAGTAGGTAATATGTAAGAAACTCCTATTTGTTTTGCACTTTTAAAGAGTTGAGAATTTGAGGTCATTATATGGAATAAGGATGAAACTATGCTTTGTCAGCTACACCTTGAAAGGGATGTACAGAAGTCTGAAATTTTAAAGCCCACAGTCCTACCCATCATTGAAGCTGAACTTAAATTTAATGTAAGAGCAGACATTTTGCAGTGGTAGTTGATCTGTTTGTTGGCTGTGATAGCCAAGAAGTATGAAGAAGAAATCAAAGTACTCTTCACAATACTGAAAAATACACTGGAATGTTCTTGTTAGTGCTGTAAAATCTAATATTTACTCTTGAGTCAACTATCAGAAGCAATTATTAATCACATGTATTCTTAAAATGGCAAATTCAAGCAGAAACTGATATACAGCAGTAAAAACCCCAACATAATGGAAGATGCATATGCAAACTATTCTTTTTATGTTGTACTATTTTAGAGTGGAATTTACAAAAAGGGAACAAAGTGGAAAACAAATTTGACTAAGCTGAGGATAGGGGCTGCCATTTTTCCTTACAGCAGGTGGCGATAATAAAAGTGACAAGTAAAACTGCTTTCTCACAACTGATACAAGGGTAATTAGATGACAACATGACAACACCTCTTTGTCTTTTTTATCTATTCAAACTCCATACTTTTTACCCTGGTACCTTTTTTCTCCTAAACCTTTCACACTTTGAGTTTTGACCTTGCATGTACTGTACCTTGCGTTACTACCTCAAAATCCCCTACAGAAAGATCAGGATCCATTTCAAAATAAACAGGGATCCGGCCAGCATTTTGTACTGACTGCATCTTTGGGATTAATTGGCTTTCAGAGGCCAGTGCCACCTAAAGCACAAATGAGTGAACTAACATTTGTTTCCATTCACTATGGAAAAATACACTTAATTCTTTGAAGCATTTGGAGCCCTTTGAGTAGAAAAGGATTATAAAATGGCACAGGAATGAATTTTTTGCATGACATGACATCACATTACAGGGCAGCTGAATGTCAAGTAAAAGCCTAAACATAGATTACTTTAGAGAGATTATAGAGATGATAAATATAACTAAATAAGGAACATATTCGTAATATTAACAGTCTGTATGCCTCGTTCAAGGTTCAGAAGGTTGGCACATATATTTTTGATCTGCCACTGTAGAAAAAAGAGAACTACTCCTTAAATGGCAAATTGTATTTAAAACTGTTAAGACTCATCTAGTGGAAGTGTCTTAGCCAATTCTGTAAGGCACAGAGTTAGTGATCAAACTCCACAGAGCTGTCAGCCCCAATGTACATTTGGTGGAAATTAGTCTGTCTACTGTGATTTAATTCTGTATTTAAACACAAAGGTCATGCCTAAGTATTTGCCCTGTTAAAAAGCCTGAAATGACTAGGAAGGTTAAAGACTTTTACTGCAAAGAATTTAGATGCACGTAATTTACCCCCCAAAAAACAAGGGTAGTTTGCTTTGTCTTCACTGTACAGCATAAAATGTCCATTGCTTCCCTTAAATTGGAGTGAACAGTAATGTAATTGTATGTTTGAAAAATTGGACAAGATGTGTAAGAGCTACACTTCCATCCATTAGTCTGGGGTAAGAGGTTGGCAACCTTTCAGAAGGGACATGCCGTGAGTTAGCTTGTCTTACAGATTTGCGTGCCTGGATACTTTTTTAATGTCAATAGTAGCACCGCTTACAATTTGATTTATACATGAATATTAAAATATAATAAAACAAAAATGAGTAAATGAATAGTTTGGTTTGATCCTTGCCCTTGCTGTCCCTTGCTGAGTTCTCATAGCAGAGTTTGAAACTGCCTGTGTGTCAAGGCAAATTGAGCAACAAAAAAAATCCACTTTGTTCACCACTGCAGTCATCACATTATTAACTTGTATTTTAAAATCTTGGCTCAAAGATTTTCCTGTTAAATAATAGTTAAAATGTACTGTGGGGTGACCAATGTGATTGGCAGTGATCTTTACGAAGCCCCTCTGTATTCTGATGAAGGCAGGGGCCCCATCTGTCGTGACAGAAAATATTTTCTTGATGTCAGTTCCTCTTTCCTCAAAGATTAACAAATGTCTTAGCTATATTTTCCCCTTCAGATGTGCCATGCATGAGTTTTAGGCAGCGCAGGTCCTCTCGAATTCTATCTGAATCTCAGTATCTTGCAAGAATTGCTAGTCACAGTATGTCATTAATATCTACGCACAGAGAGCAAAAACAGCATGGTCTTTATATTGAACAAATCTATATTCAAATCTCCAAAATGGTTGAAATGAGCGAACATCTAACTTTTTTTTGCAACTACCATTTTGTCCAATATGTTTGACTTTACACTGAAGTGTGAAAAATGTTACTGCATGGATCGTGAGCTTGACGGTGAAAATAATACTCTTGATACTGCTAAAAAGTAATGTAGTAAATAAGCCAAGTTGTATTTTTCTTAGCCAAAGCGCTTTCGCTCAGTAACACGTTGTAAAGAATTATAGTCAAGCATAGTTTGTTTTATTTTTTAGCTTAAGTTCTTGTGGAATATGAGACTTTTCTTGCACATGCTGTTAAGATTTCAATGATGGCATGTGTGCCATTTGTTGCCTAAACTCACCATTTGGTTTGTTCTCACCGCTTTTCCTCCTGAAATCATCTTTTTAGTAGTACACAGTGAAGGTATCTTAAATTGGTAGGATTGGTAATGGGTTAATCATAAAGGACTTGTAATTTAAACCACAATTGCCACATAATCGAAGAACAAATGGGTGCCAGCATCCCATCACATCAGCTTTTTTGGACCACTAGAAGTCATACAGATGTGTCCTGGGTGTGGAACTGGATTTGGCTAAGACCATTAAAAAATAAAGGACAGAGAAAACGGTTGTCCCACGTGCAGTAAGAGCTTTGTGTGCGCTTTGTAGACAATATTTGGTTGTATCTGTGGTGTTAAGGTATACACCTTGTCAAAGCACAGTTTCAGGCAACACTGAAGACAATTGTTTTTTTGGGGGGGTTGTTAGGGATAGAGAATATAGGGTTACCTGTAGATTTAGTTTCATCTTCCATACTGTTCTTTATCCATGTCCTTTTCACAATCAAATCAAGTCTTTGTGCTATTTCTATTCTGGGAAGGTGGCAAATATTCAGGGAGCTTGGTATCATTCACAGCCTTTCCAGTTTCCAGGGAAATAACATGCTACACATTGTGTTAAGGACCACAATAGTGGTCTACAAGAATGCAGCCTTTTCCTGCTGTAGAATCTGTTCATTTATTTGACCGGCATACCAATGAGCACATATAGACTATCTTCAATAATAGAAAGCATCAGTAACTGTGCCTTTGCATGGCCAGTCATGAAACTGGATTTTTTTTTAAGCATGGTGTGGTTTAAAATTAATGTTCGAATATATACCTTTTATTTGTGAACAGAATATTTTCCAGAATCTCCACAGGTCTTCCAATCCTGTGGTAGAGACAACACCACCAATTAATGGTTCTTCTTTTGTGATTATTGTGACAATTGCTCTTCTGTGTTATTGCCCTTTTATTGTGTTTAGATAAACAGCATACTTGCTTTCTGTAGATCACTATGCAAACCGCCTTTCTTTATCTGCTGATTCAAAAATGATATGCTCATGGGATGCTGACTCCTCTTTGTATCCTTTTCTTTGTCTTGACAATGAGGATTACTTGTAAGAAAGGTGTAATGTGCAAGACATAGCTAGTACCACCAGAAAAACTGGTGATCAAAAGTAACATATAAAAGAAAGATTAGAGAACAAGGAATATAGATTTTACAACAACTTCACATTAAAAGTTGCTTATTTAATATTGAACTGAATACATTCCACATAGACCCTGATATTGTGATATTTAAAAAAGTAAATATAAACCTCTGCCTTCCAGAGTAGATTTGTGCCAGTATGTCATTAGAAATGCAGTGTGAATTTAGAAAACATTTCACTTAAAGTAATCAAATTTCTATTTTTGAGCTGTTTTTCAGTTTCCTTTCTTATGTTTGGAGGCAGGGGAGCAAACATTGCAAATAAATTAGAGAAAATATAAAGGAGTATTGACCTTAGATAGTTGTCCAATTGCATTCTTTATTTCCCACAGCTGTAAAGCAGTTGAAAGGCCCAGTTGATTCTTCACATAACAAGATAGCCAACTTTGAAGGTAAGTTGATCTCCTTGGATCCCTTTCTTAACATCAATTTGGCTAAGACAGCATTCTAGATATGCTATACAGCAATGTCAGAGAAACAGGGAGGTACTCTTTCTATAATTGGATTTTGAATTCTGCCTTCTTCTACAGCTGCTATTTATGACTCCTATTAGTTAAGGAATCTATGAAATATGACTGGGTCCCAGTTCAAATAATGTGACATGTTGCAATGTGTATGGAGCAGCACACTTGCTTTTTTATGTACAAAACCTTATTTGATTTGAAAAATCCTTACACTAATTTGTCTAGAATACCTTAAGTTTAAGATTAGCCTTCAGTGCGGTAAATTACTGTCTTTGATTGAAACATCAGATTCAGATCCATTCTTTACCATGATTGTTAAGAAAGCAATGTTAAAGCAACTTCAGTGAAATGTATCTTGATTACGTTAAACAAATTTCCTGAACTCTGGAATTTTTGTTTTAGTTGTCCACTGCTTAAATGTGCTACTGTTTACAGATATCTAGTTATTGTCTGGATGGGTTTTAATATTAAACCTTTTTCTGCTTGCATATAGAAGTCATTGATGCTCATCTACAAAATAACCAGACTACAGAAGAAAATAATTTAAGCAGCCCAGAAAGAATCAAAGGTAAGATAAGATTAGTTTAAAAGTGAGGACCATGAATGGTAAGAACTCTGCAAGCATTCCATTAGTGGAAACTTGGAAATGTGTTTTTTAGATGACTTAGTAAGCATTTTAGGTCCTGTGTTATTTTTAGCCAGAATTCTTCTTTTGGTTCAGCCTTATTATAAATGTTCTGCTCAAAGTAATAAGTCTCCCTGTTGGTTTTACAGGAAATTAGTTAATTGCGTTGACCTCGTTCATGCCTTTTGGGCCAAATATATTTATAACCCACTCTCTTCCTGCCTTTCTCTCTGACAGTATTCCATTCAAGGCCTGCATATTAGCATTTAGAAAATAAAAACAACAGTATGTTTAAGTAGGTTTTCCATCAGCACAGCAGAAAAACTGTCCAAGAAAATGTGAGAACGAATGCATTTTGTGTGTGTTGGTTGGCTTGAATGAAGAATCTCCTTTTCAGTTAAAGTATAATTAACTTGTTTCTTTCAACAGCCAAACTTATAGATGATGGGCATCTACTGAAAGTTATGGAAGAAAATAAGCTTTTAAAAGGTTTGTTTTCATGTTCACTACACTGCTTGCTCACTGCATGTTTTATATTTTACTGAAAAACAATATTGTTTATGTGGGATGTGGGAGGTTTGGAGTGGAATATTAAGTTTACCAACATGAGATGGGCCCATCTTGTTTGCTTAATTGGTTAGTCTAGCTAATTGTTCTAAGGATCTTTCTGATATTAGATAAATATTTCAGAAAGGAATCCAGGGTGTCCTCAACAACATGGCTGGGGTATCTCATTCCAGGCGCCTGCAGCAGTTCCTGCAAAAATGTTGCCAGTGACCATAGAGGTTTTTCAATTGAGTCAGCATTGTGACTTAGATCTAATTACTTAATAAAAACAGTAGTATATTCATATTTATGAATTAAGTTCTAATGTTCAATTGCATCTTTAAAGCAGAACACATTAATGAGATGGAGGATCAGACATTTTTAGTTATTATAAATAACTGGATTGGCAGGTTGATGCATAGACCCTATGATAAGTGTTACTGTTGATCTAGGAGGGCTGAGAGGGATAGCTAATCTATAACTTTTACCATAGAAAATATGCTTTAGAGTAGGGGATATAATGAAAAGCCGGAAGGTCAATTTAAGCAATTTTTGCAAAAATGAAAGGTGTTGGCAACTTCAATCTCAAAGTTTTCTTATGGTGGGAAAAGTTTAGTCCCCCATGAAAATAACATACACAGTTGTATTGTGGCACATTTTAGTCCCAAGAAGAAAAGCCCAAAAGTGAAACTAGCCTTAACCCTTTTCCATTACCTTGGTCTCAAGCAGTGTCATTCTGGCCATGGTAGTATCGGGGAAGAGGGCATTATGGGAAGTTCTGCTTGGGTCCTTCTGAATGGTTTCGTCTTGCATGATGTAGAAGCACTCATTTCTAGCCCAAGAGGTTTTACCCTTTTCTAGACAATATATGGCACTGCTAAATATTTAAAGTAGTACTGTTTGAGAAGATTAACTTTGTAAAAGTATTTTACACTGTTAGAACTTAGATTAAAAAAATCTTTGGTTCTGGGCACCACTGGGTTCTTCATAGTAGTGGCTGAAAACTGCAGTATAAATCTTAGACCGCTGTTAAACAAGTTCATCTAAACTAGATATGTTACCTATGTTACACAGCAGGCATCGCATTTTCATGTACCTTTGCCCTCAGTCTGTGTAAAGCATATTTTTAGACATATGTTATTGTTCTTGTTTGTGTGAACACTACTTTAATAATGGCTTTTTGAATCAAGTGTGTTCGGTGTCCTAGTATTTTGAACCGTGGCGTTAGTGTTTTCAAAAATGTATTAAGATCTTATTTTTGTACTTAAAAAATAGGACCTTCTAAATTTTTTTCAATGGAATATATAACTAATGAATATGATATCCTCAGAGACTGCAGTTATTACTTGTGTGTACTTTAGTTAGGGGTCATCTTCAGATGTATAGTATAGGATGGCCTGGTTTCACAGAGCAGAAGGCAGTTGTTGCTGCTGCTGAGGCATCTGCTCCTGTTTTGCTAATCCATCTGGGATTAAAGGAGCAGATTAATGGAGATGGGATTAATGGAATTTTGCAGGAGTTTGTCAACGGTCATTCACCAGTGACGTTATGTGACAGTTGTTCAAAATCCCAAGGTGCTCGGGTGGTTTTTTCCGTTGCAGAAAAAGAGAACATGGCGACCAGTAAAATTATGCGATATAAGTTTGACACGATCCTTGTCAGTGCAGCACATGATAGGACCTTAAAGAGTTGCGTAAACATTAATTGATTTAATCTATTTACAAGGTGCCCTGTTTCTTGAAGTCTGCGATAGATCGTATTGTAGGTTTGTGGGGAGATAAAATTGGCCTGGCAATCTTCAAAGTGTTTTTTATATCTGTAATGGCATTTTATATTCTTCAGTTTCACACATGGTGTGAAAGCTTTTTTCCTGCTGTATTGTACAATTTTCTTCTCTTAAATAGTATTTTCTTAAAACTGGGAATTGGAAAAGTGCAGATGCATGGGGAAACAAAAATCTTATCACTACGGTTAGGATCAGAACAGGTGCTTCCCTGTGAAGTCATTTCAGTTTGGCCGAGTGGTTGGATATTCAGTCTGGTTACAGCAGAGTCCTGTGTAGTGTTCTACAGTGACTGCAGTCTTTCTTGAAGCGTAGCTCTTTTTATGTTCTGGTATTGTTAGCTTTATGAACAAGTCGTTTTTACATCAGTTTCCAACTGGCAGCGAAACCGCTGAGCGCCCTGAACAAAAGCCTGGACTATTTTAGCATGCAGCTGTATTCCCATTTGGAAGTTCAAATCGGATATGTGACCATGTGTGGTGAATAGGAGTGCTGGACCTGGAACAAGTAGGGAGAAACCATTTCTTACAGTACTACAAAACAATAAATGAATCCCAGTCTACTGAGCAGCATTTTAAAATAGGCATTCCTAAACCTCCAATTTGCCTTGCAAAGTAATTTATAGCCAGTGCAGTAATTCTGAGCCAAATAGCTTGACAAATGTTATCAGGTTTCACTTTCAGCTACCCCTTGAAAATGGTGTCTTCTGTCTCCCCCCAGAAAATCAAATAGATGCAAAAGAATCGGACATGTCAGACACACTCAGTCCCAGCAAGGATAAAAGCAGTGACGACACTACAGGTAAAGCTTTTAATCTGACTTCTTATAGACAATTTTGAATATTTGATGCTATCACATTATAATTCCAGCCAATATACATAATTGCTTTTGGTTGCAGCAACATATTACTGTGTGTGATGACCACACAATTAACCTGAAAATGCGTCTTTACAAGAGTAAAATCAGCATACACTAGTTTCACTTTTGTTATGATCAAAGTGGATGTTTCTAAATAGAAATTTTTATTTTTTTTTATTTTTTGAGTGGTTTAAGGTATAGAAAAGGCTGATGTATATAGGGTTTGTCGTATGAAACTGACTTTTCATCCTTGCTAAATCAGATTTTTTTGCCTTCCGAAACCAGTTCTTTTGAACCTTCTTTTTTCTTTTGCAGACGGGCAAATGGATGAGCAAGACCTAAACGAGCCTGTGCCTAAGGTTACTTTATTAAAAGGTAATGTGAACATTTTGACATTCAGAATGACAAAAATCCTGTTAAGCACCTGTTAATTCTTCTTATGACTTAATGAATGTTATGTAGAATAAGTAAATAACTAAATAATCTGAAATCCTAATGTATTTTTACAGTGTAAAATGTAATCTAGTAAAAAGGGAAGCAGGGTTTCAGGAAATGCTGAGGTGGGGTGTGGACATGAGCTGCGAGTTCTGTCATGACTATATATGGTATTGTGTTAGAGAAGAGTTCTCTGGGATGTACTTGAATTTACACAGGAATCAGAAGGAATTTCTAGTTACTGTGACTATCGGATTTTCACTTGCCAGTTCAGCTGATCTGTTGGTGCAAACTGTGTGCGTTTGTATTACATTACAGTGGTGGTTGCTTGTGTTAGTGATGTAGAAAGTAGGACAGAGCTGATGTTCATATCTTGTTTGTTATTTTGGGTTCACTGAGCATATTTGTTGAATTTGAAGCAATTAAGGAGCAATTAGTGAGGGAAATTGATTGAAGCACTCAACAGGAAAGCTATGTATCCTGGACACTAAGTCGTCGGACACTATGGCAAAGTGTTTTTTCTCTTTAAATAATTCATTTCTCTTTTCAGGTACATTTTTTAACAAATTACACCTCTATAATACATTTTGCAGCCTATACCCCATGCAAATATTTCACAAGCACAACACCAGTAACTCAATGTTAAAAAATAAAATAGTAAGCCTTAACTACTTCAATTGACAGATAGATGTGAAGCTGTTTTAATGTTCATGGGAATACTTTTTCAAACAGACTGACATTTGTTCTCTTGGTGAGCCCCGTTTTAAACTGCATTACTGACTCTAGCCTTTGCGTCCATCAGTAAAAGCCATTCTGTAGACATCAATGAGAGTAGAAAGCTATTTTAGTTGTAACATCTTAACTTTAAGCTGCTGATTAGTCTTCGTCTGGAAAAACATTTCAACCAAATTATCCAAAATTACCTGTCTTTTCTTGTAATTTACATAATTGTATCTACTATATGTAAAACTAAAAGTTTAGCTGTTCATCTTTTGAATTGCCTATGGACTAATTTATTTTGTTGAATAAGTCATTTTAGCTTTGTATATAATTCTATAATAGTATAGAATTTGTATATAATCAAATTTCATGATTTGTCTTTTACCTGCATTCTCATGGACAACTGATAGATAATCTTGGCATCTTTGTCATTCTGACGGGCAGAACTTATCGGATCAAGTACCAGTGTTTCATGTTACAGGAAGCTGCCAAAGCAGCTTTCATAATGTCACACACTTGTCTCCTGCCATGGTGCAGATTTTGTTACAGGCTATAAAAGATGAGGAAGACAGGCTTATAGTTTCAAAAAGTGCTGTGGTGGTACCTTCCTACAAGAAGAGACATAGTCATCTGTAGTGACATGTATACTGATTGATGTGGTATACAGACGTGATTAAATGTTTTTTACAATCTCAAGTAATTACTTATTATATTGGCAAGACATGAGATAATGTTTCGGGGGGAGAGATCAAGGCAGAGGGTATACACTGTCAGTCCCAAGGTTTAATTTCTGCAATGCAGACACCAAAAATTATAGTTTTACATTTGAGACATACGTTTCTCTTCAAACTAAATTTCTCTGGATCCTGCCGGTCAGAAAGACTAGGCAGATCTTTTCGTTCCTAATGAAGAAGTGTAGGGCTATGATTTCACAATACCATGGCTCTGATTTGCAGTTAATTTAAGTACCACAAATACTTGTTAGTTTATCCAAGTCTAATCTGCCCTTGAATCACTCATTCCTTAGACTGGTTTCCAGTTCTGTTTGCACTGCAATGAAGTCATACCTTATTATCCGCTGGTGTGGAAATTGCATGGTGAACATTCTCTTATTGTTCCTGCTGTCTTCCTGCTGCCAATGCCCTGATTTTTTAGTGATGAGGTAATGTCTTTCCTAGCAGCTGATAAGGGCAACTGGGAGCTGCAGTGGATTTTTCCCTGCCTGATTGCCACTGTTATTTGCAAGTAGTCAGGTCTCTCGGCTTATTTTCACCCCTTGCCACAGCCTAGAAAATGTTTTCTGGTCTTTCTTTAGTAGGCCATTCTTGTGCTTAGCCAGATCTTATTTATACATAAATGAACTGATTGGATTCCTGTATATTTTGCCATGGAAGAGTATCCTGACTGTCATATCGCCACAGTGATGATTATAGCCTGACACTTAGCGTAGAAAGGAGCATTTCAATTCTACAGTTTTTCTAGGGTAATTCTGATATTTATAGTCACTTGCCAAAATATTAGTATCTTACTGATTTATGTCCTGGACCTCTAGGAACAGTTGGATGTGCTCTGTTCTTCGTTGTTTAAATATTTGAAGTTAAGTATTCTGTTGTTTTGTCAGGAGGAGCTTTAATCCAGGTTGTGATGAGGGGGCAATTGCATGTGAAAATGAATTTCACACCAGTTGTTTTCAGTGTGATGGAGCTATAGGGATTGGCCTGCAAAGATAAAGTGATGGGAGTCTTGTCTCATGTTCCTCAATTAGACCTCGCATTTTGTTTCCATGGAGTGAATATTTGACTCGTGGTTCCTACAAGCTTAGCTATTGAGTTCACGCATCCTGCAAAGGAGTTTCATGCTAGAGCATTCCCTTCCTTTTTATTTTACTTCTACCAGTGATAAATAATGTAGAGTACCCAAGGTTACCTTTAGCAGAGTGAAATTCCCTCTGGACTCTGGAGAAGGTGTCCTAGTGCCACAGGGCAGCTCATGCAACAGACTGTCAGATCTGTTCATTGGTGTGGTAGCCGCAAACCCTGGGAATAAATATTGACGTTGTCATTTGTTTTGAATGACAATATTTAGTCTTTGACACACAAACTGAATGTGTATTAGATGCCCTACATTTATTAAAACGGACATCTTTAACTTCCATCTCTCTGAATTAGAAAGTACGTTACAAAATTACAAAAAGTAATTGTGAATTCTGGCATACAGGATTCAATGATTGAAGTAGATGAGAAGGATTTTTGCTGTCTGCGTCTTTAAAATCATTTTCAGTATTAACAAGCTTTTTTCCTGACTAAGATGCTGTTTTATGCATCTTACGCTCTATTTCTTTCTGTTGAAAGGCTTTCAGGTTTAAAATACTTTAAATATTCTTCTCCGAATTACAATTTTGCATTTGTAAAGAAACCTCTCTTATAAATGGCACTGAATTGTCACAAGGGGGCGAGGTTGATCTAATTTTTGGTTTTGCTTATCCCAATCTTATCATGCTTTTGTATCACTTGTTTTAACACTGTACTTTATCAAATACTTTTTGAAACCTGTCTTTTATAACTGTGATGTTCTGTCCCGAGTGTTTCATTAGATACTGTGCTATGTAGTATATACTAATACAGCACAGTAGAAATAATACGAGCCACGTCACTAGCTTAAACGCAAAACCCGTCTTTCAAACGTGTATTGTATAACTGTAGCTGCAGTATCCAAAAAAAACACAAACCCAAAGATCACACTAAATATTTTTTTAATGAAATGCTAGCATTTTCTTAAATTGAAATTAAATTGCATACAATTATAATTGGCAAAATGTACCTTGTACATGTACACAGTAATATTAAGTATGTTGTACAGTACAAAATATGATTTAAGTATGGTCACAGTACATTTTTTGAGAACAGGTTATACCACTTTTAAATTGAAGGCATTTTCATACTTCCTGATTTGAAAGCCTTATTGCACCTAGATGACTTTCGGTAACCTGTAAGCCTTCAAGTAATGCTAAAAGTCAACTTAACTAAATGCATTTGGGGAAAAAAATTGGAAGTGGTTAAAGCCTAAAGCCTTCCTGAGCAGTGTCATTTCCTCTTTCACAGCTGAAAGTGCAAGTTCTGGAAATCAAAGTATTTTTTTCACAGAATTGTGGTCTGTAATTAATCTCCATTTTATTTATAGGCTCTTGTACTTTTATCATTGAAACCATTTTGATGCTCTAAAATCTTAATAGACTCACCTCATAAATTGGGGAATTAAGCTTGAATCCCTAATTAATTTCATCTGTTAATTTGAAAAAAAGTAGGTCAAGAGGAAAGCAGGGACAAATCTTGCCGTGCTCTTTGTAGTTACATATGCCATTAAAGGGTTTCTCAAGGGAAAATCTGTCAAATGGATTTAAAATGTAGAGTACATAAGAGTTTCAAAGTTTTCAATATTCCTCTTGAATTACTTATCAGAATATTTTAGATTTCCCAACTCCGAGATTTCTTTTCAGTATCCCATTATTTCTGAAACCATTCACTTGCACGCAAGATAACAATCTACACTGAAACAACATTGCATACAATAAAATAACGAGCATGAAATGAAATAACAGCACGAGCACTGTGGAAATGACTGTACCCGGTTCAGTATAATGTGTCTTTTGGAGAATGTAATTGAAGCCATGCCTGGTTGAACAGTCTTTAGTTTATTCATCCTTCTGTAAAAAAAGGTTTTCATTATTAAACCAAAATGTGCACATAATGTTTATTAAGACCATAACATGTTGAAACTGAACACTTTATTCTGTTTCATATCTTCTGTTTAGATAGTAGCATGTTTAACAGGCGTATCAATAACTTGTTTGAACATTATCATGCAAAAATGAATTTGGAAGCTTTCTGAAAATAATAAAATCCAGATTTCTGAACATTTTAGTTTTTAAATCTGGCAGACTTTTTTAAAACAAAGTATTTTTGAATAGTCTTTTAAAATTGTGATGTCAGACTCTTGGACGTTTTAAATGCTGAGATCTATAGCCTGTAGCACAGACCAAGATGCACAAAGGCTGTTTTTCTTTAAGTTGACTTTACTCCTCATTAACTACTGATATAGTGATTGACGTTTGGTTTAATAGATTAGTTGAAAACTAGTTTTACTTTATAATAGGCATGATCTCAAATAATGAAGAATATTTATGGAAATATTCTTTGCCATTTGGATATGAAATGTGTTGACAAGTGTTTTTAGAATGGAAGTGCTGATGTCTACAGTCCCATTATATTAAAGGGCCTAGGTAAATCTTAATTACCAGTGTTTGGGGGAAAAAATGTAATACTTTTAAAATTTGTGCCACGTCTTAAGAGCTGTAGCTATCTGATACAGCCTGGTTCCAGAAGTTTTTTTTTTCCTCTTCTGTATGGAATCCCAAAAATATCTGTCTTGAATCTCTGAATATAGGGTCTGTTCTGGGTGGTTTAAAGATGAGAAAAGACCATTCAGCACTGCAGGGCTCATTAAAGTGCTTTGACAAGAGTTGGAAGGGAAAATTGCTTTTGGTTTTGAAATACTCTAGATGGTTAAGAAGCTAATGTTCTTTTCCTTGTTTTTTTTTGAACGCATGTTATGTATGTAGAATATACATGAGGTTCTGATTGGATTGAATCCGAAATTGGTGAGAGGATGATGCTGGACAAAAGTAACATAATTTTAACTCACAAACTGTACAAGATTTCCCTTAACTGTTTTCTGATTCCAGGTAGCCTTACATAGGCACGGCCTGATTCATATCATGACTTTGTGGTGGTGGTTCTACAATACCAGCTCCCACTCGCACTGTCCCGGAGTTAAATCTGAAGTTAAAATGAGAAATATTTTTTTGCCAGTACTGTAGGTGGCAGATTGAGTATAAGAAGGTTTTTATGGCATGAAATGTCACTGACAGTATGAACACTGTTCTTTTAAGCTCAATGGGACTATATTGGTTAATATCATAAGCATTAACATCTGTTCTGTAAACAGTGAGGGGCATTTTTTAGTGTTTGGTAAGAGCTGAGATTTCCCAAAAGGCCTAAAGTCTCCAAACCACATCAGAATGCACTCTGATGCCCTTATAGTTAGGAAAAATGAAAAGGACCTTTATTTGGTGTCAGGAGATGTTTGAGAAGCTAAATTTAAGGGTCTAGCTTGAACGTTGTAACTGATTACTGAGCATTTGTAAGGCTACCACTGCTTTTTATACTCAAGCTGTCATTTTTATTAATGGTTGGTTTTAGGAGCTATGGTCTGATGTTGATTTTAAACCACTATTTCTTTTCACTTAAAAACTGTTGTCCTGCTTTAATTGTAAGCAGTTTCTCATGTCACTAAAAAGTTTCCTAAAGCCAGTGTATTGCTATTTTGTTTTTATACATTGCAGATTAGTTTTTTTTTAACAAGGTGTTTGACAAAGCCAAAATTTACATAATTTTTTACCTGTAACTGAGTACCTGGAATCAAAATGTAGACAGTTTTGAGGCATAAAGGTTCTCTTCCATGCAAGTTTGTGAAAACAGAAGAATATAAGCAGAGCTGATGATTCTGTCCCATTTGATAGAAGCTGATCCAAGGGTCATATCCAGACATTTTTCTTTAAAAAGTCACAGTATGGAGTTCAATAACAAAGCTTGTTAGATACTCCCCCAAGTCTTCGTGTTAAGTACTTCATGTTTTCAGTTTCAAATGCACTTCCACATAGTTTTCGCTTCTGTCTGGGTTTTGGGGGGTATAATTTGACCTAATTATGAGTTGCTGTGTAAAGGAGCCTTCTCCTTACTGGCTGTCTTGCATAGATTATGGGAAAATGTTAACAGGCATACAGTATGTGAAGAAAATGTTACAAACAAGACAGCCAATTTTGCCATTCTTGGGCATTTGATGGATAGTATTGTAATGATTCAATAATTACATTAAACTATATATATATAGTGCAGTGAAAATGTATTTCCCAATTTCCTCTATTATTGCATATTTGTCACACTGTTTTCAGAACTTTATTAGATAAAGGGAACCTGGGTGAACAAATAACACTTATTAAATGTATTTATTAAACAAAGTTATCCAATACCCATATCCCAGTGTGACAAAGTAATTGCCCCCCTTACACTAAATAATTGGTTGCACCACCTTTAGCTGCAATGACTGCAAACGAATGCTTCTTATAATTCTTTCACGTTGCTGTGGAGGAATTGTAGCCCACTCTTCCTCTCAGAACTGCTCTCCTTCAGAAACATTGGTAGGTTTTTGAGCACGAACTGCTCGTTTCAGGTCCTGCCATAGCATCTCTGTTGGGTTGTGGTCTGGACTTTGACTTGGCCACTCCAAAACTTTAATTTTGCTTCTTTTCAGCCATTCTGAGGTGGACTTGCTTTTGTGTTTTGGATCATTGTCTTGCTGCATGACCCAACTACACTTCGGCTCGCGGACGGATGACTGGACATTCTCCTTAAGAATTTTCTGATACAGAGCAGAGTTCCTTTAGTTATGGCAAGTCGTCCAGGTCCTGAAGCAGCAAAGCATCCTCACACCATCAAACTACCACCACTATGTTTGACTGTTGGTATGATGTTCATACTGTGGAATGCTGTTTGCTTTATGCCAGATATAATGGGACCCATGTCCAAAAACTTCCACTTGTGACTCATCTGTCCATAGAACATTCTCCCACAAGGCTTGGGGATCATCCAGGTGCTACTTGGCATATGAGAGATGCTACTTTCCCATGAAGCCCATTTTTGCCCAGTTTCTTTCCATTTGTGGAGTCATGAACACTGACCTTAGTTGAGGCAAGAGAAGCCTGCAGCTTTTTGGATGTTTTTTTAGGACCCTTTGTGGCTTCCTGGATGATTTTACGCTGCTCCCTTTTTTGGCAAATTTTGGCATGGTTAACCCCTCCTGGGAAGATTCACTACTGCTCCAAATGTTCTCCATTTGGAGATTCTCTTCACTGTGGTTCAGTGGAGTCCCAGAGCCTTAGAAATTGCTTTGTAACCCTTTCTAGACTGATAGATATCAACAACTTCTTTTCTGATCACTTCAGGAACGTCCTTTCATTGTGGCATAATGTACTTGTTGAATCTTTGTGCTGGCAACTTGACTCTGATGGTAAGGGTCAAAATAGGTGCGGTTTATATTGAGCAGGGTTGGCTGTAATCAAGCCTGGCTGTGTTCAATCAGCTGACTCTAAATTATCCCTTTTATTGGGTTGATTTAACTCTTTCACACAGTGCCAGTTGGTGTTGGATAACTTTGTTCATTAAATAAATGAAATAAGCAAAAAATTAGTTATTTGTTCACTCAGGTTCTCTTTATCCAATATTAGATATAGGTTGAAGAACTGAAAACATTCAGTGTCAACGATTTGCAAAAATAGAGGAAATCAGTAAGGGGGCAAATACTTTTTCACGGCACTGTACATATTCGTGCAGGTTTTTACTGGGCTGTTCAAAGCTGCACATCACATTTTTTCTGTTCCTTTCTTACGTTCGTATTAGAAATCCTGTGAAGAAGCACCTTTTGTCTGATGGGCCTTGGAGGTCTTCCGGTGTGTTCTTCTTCTCTCATAGGCCCCTGTCCCAGAAACATGACGGCATTCGTACACAACTGTTTAGAAACCAAGATAAATAGTTTACAGCTTTCAGCGCTCTAAAAGTGTTTAGTTGTTCCGTAGGCATGTGGTGAGTATTTGCCAAAGTTTGGATGGCTTCATTCTAAGGCTATGTATTGGGTAAAAGAAATTAGGATGACATGAACATAAAAGGACTTTGTTTTTAATCTGATGATCATGTCCAGATTTCATTAAGAAAAAGCTTAATTTACTTACAGGGCTATGAATCACGATGTGGGTTGGTGTGATCATATGAAACCTGTGCACATTCTGTTCTCTTTTTTTCTACTGGTGATGACCACAAAAAATAGATGCGCTAGAACATTAGAATATAGTTGTTTATTTTTTTTTTGTTCAGGTCTAGAAGATACAAGGAAACTAATAAGACTTGTTTGCGTTACTGTGATGTGGACCCACATGCACATCCAAAATTAAAAAATAAGTCAGAAAATAGTTGCTCTTGCACTTTTCATCTACAGTATGTGGGAATATATGCTATTATATGCACAAGCTTAGGTGACGTCTCTGAAAAAACTGTGACCATTATGCTTTGATCCATATTGGGTTACACAGGCTACAATCTCCTATGTAAGCCACCAGCCCAGTGAGTCACACATGGCTGGTTTGAGGTTGGGTCATATTATTAGCCAGTTGTAACCAGGGTTTTCTAAAAGGAAGTACGCAACTGGCAGAGTGCCACTGAACTAGAATGATCATTGGTCGAACAAGGTCTCAACTTTCTAGGGTTTTCTGACACCAATCTTTCAGTCAGCTCTGTTTCCCCTTTAGAGCGCTGTGCTGCTTGCACTGTGTCAATAGATGAATGACTGTGACAGAAGGGTGTCAGAGGAGTATTTCTGTATGTTTTCATTCTCCCCGAGCCATACATGTGTATCATCAGTCTTCATTCCAAATGGGGTGGGTTTAAATCATTGGCAATCTGATAGAAATTAACTTCAAAATGATTATTTCTACTATTGCATTTCTGCACAGGTATGGTTGCTGAAGATCTGCAGTTTTCAGTGGGAGACTGTACTGGTTTGCCTGCAGAATTCAACATGAAAGAGTACTTTGTTTATTTGTATCTGTGTCTAATAGCTTGTGTTCTTTGTTGTTTTGCAGAGGAGCTGCAGCGAGCAAACCTGGAGGCCGGAGACACTGAGCAAGTGATCCAGCACTTGCACAAGGAGCTGGTAGAAGCACAGGAGCTGGCCAAGACCGGAAAGCAGAAATGTTTAGAGCTGCAAAGTAAGAGGGATGACGTTTCAGAACAGACTGCTTGTCCCGTCTTTGAGGTGAAGGACTTTGGGAGCCAGTGGGAATCCTGAAGTGTCTCGATCTTTCAGAAACACTTCGGCTGTATTGCTTTCCAGATTATTGTTATTTTTTTATTTTAAAATGGTCTATTGAATTATGTAGGAATTATGCATTGCATGAAAATGCTAATAATAATAAGAGGATGCTGTAATGCTTGAACATTACATGAAGAGAAAGAAATTTGATTTATTTTGTGTCCTTTGGTACAGCTCTGCTGGAGGAAGAGAGAAAAGCTAACAAGCAGCAGACTGAGGATTCTTCAAAGCAGATCCAGTTTCTGCAAGGTGTGATTTAGTTTCATTTTTAAATCCTTAAAACTGTACATGGGTGAAATTGGTTTGTACTGTGATGGTGTAAAATTTACAGCTAATAGGCAATCTGCCAGTTTTTTCATTTCTTGGTAAGCAGTATTCTTAACTCTTAGGATATTCTCTTTACCAATTTCCTGTAGTCTTTTTAACATTTTTCAGAGTTAATTTCTGCAGCCGAAATTGAGACTGTGAGCAGAAGAGAACACAATCAGTGATGTTAGTATTACAGTAGTACATGGAAAATTTGGTCATCTGGCCATTTTGGGGAAAAGGGGAAAACACAATCTAATTATGCCCCCCTTTCCTCAACAAAAATCCCTTGGAGTGCTAAGACCTGCTGCAAACAAGTCCTGTCAGAACACCACAGAAGCTGATGATCATGCAGAGCTTGAAATAACTGGCAGCATTATGTCCATTGCTCTTATGCCTCCTTAAATTATAAAAACAGAGACTGAGGCAAAAGTTAACTGTAAACCTGCAATTATACCTACCCATCCATACAGGTCATTGTCGCAGACTCACATCTGGTCTGCATCCCATACATACGCTCACTTATTATGTCAGTACAACTACAACCGAAAATAAAAAAATCTGACTGGAACAGCAAACAAATGTTCCCTTGGGTGACTGATGTTCAGAAAAGGGTGCACCCAACCAAACGTTGACAGTAGGAATGGAGTATAGTTAAAAAGTTTGTAAACTTGTCCATTACGTGAACATCTCCAGCACTGCAGGATATCTTTTTTGAAATGCAGATAAGACCCTTTTTAATGTTTAATGCTACCATTTCATTTTTAGCGTCCAAGAGTTCCAGATGAGGTCTGAGTTCTGTTCAGCGATGATGCAACTCGTTGCCAAATAGACATATTAGAACATTTACAGTGAACGAAAGAAAACTGTGGTTGCAATAGTTCGTGGTCTTTGTGCAATGCATGGACTTCATGCTGTACAGTTCTTCACTTCACTTTCTGTACATTTTGACAACTTGTCAGCTTATGTGAAATAAGAGACCAGAATATTTTTTTTAAATTGGATATTTACCCATATCAGATCATGGATTAAAGATAGGTTAGCAGATAAAAGTTCAAATTCTTTGCTTGTTGTCTTTTAAGATTTCATCATTCTGAATACAGTGTCACTTATATGAAAATCAGACCTCCAAAATGAAGAAGGCACTGCCTTTCCTATATCTTATTTCTGCCTCTGTTAACATGCAGTTCATTCCCAAGTGTCTTTTCCACCACAGCCCAGCTGCACAAGCTGCAGGGAGATATCGAGCTGCTGAGGGAGCAGAAAGAGAGCGACATCTCCAACACCCGGGATGAGCTGACCAGCGCCCAGGAGGAGATCCTGATGCTGCGCCGTGCGACGGAGGCGGCCACCAGGGAGCGGGAGAGGGAGATCGCGGCGTTGCAGGGGGACCTGAGCACGGTCAAGGGGGAGCTGGAGAAATGGCGCAAGACGGCCTCCAAGTACGAGGACGAGATCAGCACCCTGCAGGCCAGCTTCCAGCAGCAAAGCCAGCAGAAAGTCAGGACGGCTGAGCTTCAAGGTGAAAAACCATCCCAACCACTGCTTTTACAGCTAGAAGACCTGATCACCGCTAGAGCAGTCAGACTTGTTTATCAAGAAATGTGTTAATAGTGGTTTAAGATCCACCATACCTCATATTTTTCCTGGAGTGTGAAAAAAATAATGGTACATAGCTCGGTGGAACTGAGAACATTAAACTCCTGCCACACAGTCACAGGCTGAAAACCTATTTCGTAAGAGGCCAAGCTGCATCCTCTTGCACAACACAGATTTACTCAAGTACAAACATCACAGATGATAAGCCAAAACGCTTTCAGTTATTTCTCTTTGATTTCCCTCTGCTTGTCTCAGTTTTAAGTTTGTAAGAAATTGATTAAGGAACGCTTCATTGAAAGACATTTTGGGGTTTTTAAGCTAGTGTATAGGTTGTCTCATTGGTAAGGAATTTCCCCAATAAAGGCCGTGCTAGTCTGTGAAACTTAAATTCCAATTAATCTGACTAATGGGTCTTGCTGTGGAAGATTGTGCTGGAAGTTAGTTTAAAATGAGCTGTTTGGAGACTAACGGGAATGTACGTTTATTAAACTTGTTTCATTGGATTCTTTCAGGCGAGCTTGAGAAACTGCAGGAGGAGTGCGAGAGCCTGCAGAGTGAGTGCGCTTCTTTGCGCAAAGAGAAGGCGGTTCTCATTGAGAAACTGCAGCAGCTGGAGAAGGAGCTTGACAGGCAAGTTTATCAAGTCCTCGCTTGGACTGTCCTGGTTTGTCTTTCAGCCTTTGGTTCTGATCTTATGATGCTTCACAAAGACCAGGAAAAGGGAGTTCACCCTTGAAGGTTTTTGTCTGATTCCAGGTGTGAGTGATAAGAAACGGCCACATTTCTCAGTCAGACCCATCCAGTGTCTTACAGGCCTAGGGCTGCATGTTGAATGTAAGGCTATCAGATTGTATTCTATTGCTTTCCCAAATAAGAATGGTAACTATGTACTGCCTGTGCCCAAGTCTTGGCTATCAGTAGCACCCTGGAGTGTATTAGCATTTCCTTTCAGAATGGCCTGCTATGTGTGCTCCCTTTGAAAATAGAAATGATTGTTCAATAACTGTCTAACTGAAGCTGTAGTGTATCCTCTTCAGTAAGGACAAGATACCTATTATGCGATCTGTGTATCAAAGTGATGCCCTCCCATCCTGCTTTGAGTGAGGTTTACCTAGATAACAGCACAATGCCAGAATCTGTTTTTCCAGGCAAATACTCATTAGGAAAAGTAGTAATGTGCTGTCTCTCTCTGTAATTGTGGCATCCTTGTGATTTATATTTTCTAATTTCACAGGGTAAGTATTTAAACAGAAACCAGCTTTGTACCTCTTTAAGACTATAAAATACTGTTGTTGGGTGTGGTCCAGTTGATTTTTCCTGACTTCACTCCTTTTGGATAATTCCTGCTAATTTCTGAAAATAGAATCATTTTGTAGGTTCTCGGAATACAACAACAGGTTATTTGTGCAACAAAGCAGCTTCATTAATAATTGATAAAATTCCACTGCTGATACACTCAATTGAAGCATGTCTTTTTGGGCTTGCTCTTAATGTTCTGTATATCAAGACTTCTAAACAAAACAACTGGTCTGGAGGGCATTTACCACTTAGCTCCACTGTAATCTCATGCTGTAAACACTATATATAGGAATACTTCATACATTTTTTATTCTAGTTTTGATCCTTTACTTTAAACAAGTTTTAAATGAAAGGTTTCCATTAACATGGGCCTGAGGGTACTTGATGTGTACCACGCGAATTGGACAATTTGATCAACTGTCCAAAAGAAAACATGAATGTCATTGTCCATTCCTTATGCCTGATGGAGTAGTTACGATAGGTTCACGCTGACTCCCTTTATACATGTTTGCAGACCCCCTGGGGGAGGACAAAGAAATGAATGAGCTTTAAAGTAACAGTTGATTATTAAATACAATGATGTATCATTATTGCCCATCGTCCTTTGATTCTAGTTCTCGGGCGCACAGTGCTGCCCTGAGCAGTAATCTGAGTGCCCTGGAGAAGACTCAGGAGGATCTCCAGTGCAAGATAGGGGCCATGAAAGAGCAGCACCAGCAGGATGCTAGCAGCCTGAAATCGCAGCTGGCAGAAGCTGACAGCCACACACAGAGCCTGCAGAGAGAGGTATGGTAGTTTGCAACAGGTTTATTATTCCAGGTAACCCTTAGGTATTTGAAACTTGGTTTATATGCATGATTCTGTTAGTTTCTTTATAGATGTTGAATATATTACACAGACTCTTTTTTGCATTTTTTGGGGGGTTTATATATTATTTAGAAAACTTTTTTTTTAGATTTTGTTGGCCTTCGAAAGTTTGAATTCAGTTATTACATGTAACAGTTTTTTTCTAATGTGATCAAATAAAACGAAGAACGAATCATATTGCTTTGGATTTATCAGTGTGGTATTTAAAATGTTTGAAGGAAAACGAGTTGTCTGCATTCTTCCTTGTTTCTGCTGTCCTCTCGAGAAGCTCCAGTCCATGTGTTCCAAGTTTTTTTTTCTCAACAGTTTGAGGAAACACAGACTCAGCTTTCTGATCTGAAAGAACGTTATGAGAGGACGGAGCAGGAGAAACAGTCTATCAGTGATGAGCTTCAGCAATGCAAAGTCAACCTGAAGCTACTGCAGGAGAAAGGAAGCAGTGTAAGTGAGGCCATCCTTCTGCGTAGTCAATACAGCTTCCCTTCAGTCTCTCTACTGAGGAGCTCAGACTGAGCAACTGTGTGTTGAGTGCCACTGACCTATTCGGAAAAATTGAGGGTTAAGTGTAACAGGCTTGACTTAATGTAAATGTCTGAAGTCATTGGATTGCAACATAAACAACACATTTCTCTTTAAATTCTGTTTTTTTACATAATCCAGCAAGTAATTCCATGTAATGTTCTAGCATGTGGTTGATCTCAGTCCAGTGCAGAAAATGACCAATTGTTGACATACCGTACAGATCTGTGAAGAAGAATGGGGATGAGCTGTAAAGAACATAGAAATTAGTGTTACTGTGATATAGAACATCAAAGCTGTAGAAAGTTTATGTATTTTTACAAGTAACAAATTTAGCTATAAATGAGAAGCAGAATGTATTTAGATGAAGAATGGGGTGATGTAACAGACTGGTGTCGAAAATAATGCTTACATTAAGAATGCATGGCTTTCAGTCAAAACTGGCAATGATAAACTGAACAGTTGTGAAAATTTCTGATGTATTGTGGATAAAAAGAACACAATTTTGTGACCGTGGGTAGAGGTCTGTTTCCATCATAAAAATTAGCTGAAAAACAAGCTGTGATGTGGTTAGATATGATAAACACATGCACACAAATGCATACAGATCACCATACTGAGAGAATTCCATTAGCTCTGCCTGGGAAAACTGATCTGGTGAAGGCTTTTATCTCATGCGCTGTAATCCAGACACTGCAAGATGAAGCCAGCAAAGCACTGAAGTAACCTCACATGCAGAATGGACAGTGCTGATTATTTAGATTTATGAAATGGTGCTGTAAACTCAGAAGAACTGATGCAAATTGGGATTGTAGGGTTTGCAACACACGCGAGGCTCCATCAAGACCGGCTTTCCTCATTGTCCCAACAACCATGAACAGAATCGGGTTTTTGGTTTAGATTTTGATTCTTGCAGGGTCCCCACTGAAGTAAACTGCTCTTTGTGTCCATGCTGTCTGCAGTGTGTAGTTCCCGGTCAATCTTCAGAAAAAAACACTGCCTAGAGTAAACCGTTTTATGTGTAACAAGTGTTTTATAGTGTGACATTCAGCAAAATGCTGGATTTTATTTGTTTGTCACTGTATATACATTGGAGGTATGGGATATGTTTAGGTACTGTTCATGTAATGGCTTAATTCAGCATTAATAGTGGTGAAAAGTATAGTGTTGGTCTGGCGATGGCCTTACTAATTATGAAGTCCATAGCTCATGAAGAGAAAATTGCATTATGAAATCTTAATTTTTGAATATCTGTACCATTGTATTCAGGTCCATAAGGGTTTTGCCCCCGATTTAATGCTTTCTGTTCTGTTGAATGATTACTATTTACTGTTAAATATATTGTCTTTTTTATGTAGTTGTGTCTCTGTATGATGACAGGAGTCTGTACTCCGCATTCTTTCATAGGAGAGTTTTTGAATGTTCTAAATACAGAAGTTGTCTTTTTTCCCCCCCACTCTGTGAAGGCTCCCACTGTTTCATAGCTGCACAGCACACAGTGCGCTGCAATGCACATACATGCCTTGGCTTTGAATTCTCACACTGCCTGTTCTTCCCTTCACTGCTAAGGAAAGACTTTACTGCCTCCTGCATGGGAACAGCACAGCCAGTGTGTGAGAGGAGGGCGAAATTAAGCACTGATATCAAGTTCAAAGTTGCCAACAATGAACTAAAGTCCTCTGGATAAATGAGTCTTTACATTTTACGGGAAAAGAATACCATTTGAATTATTGATCCATTGTTCTTTTTCTTCTGGTGTCTGTTCTGATTCACAGCTTCAAAGTGTAAAATGTTTTTTTTTTTTTTGTTGCCTTTGTCCAACTGAAATCTGTGTTGTATCTGTTGATGGCTCCCAAACCTTTTGGTCCCATAGGCTGGTGCCCTACAGCTAGTTTCTGTTAACTAGCATAAATTGATTATTTTAATATCCCTTCCCTCCTTTAGCCATCCATATTGCAACAACCTGTCCAAGCCATTTTCATCGGCCTTATCCTGGCTTTCCTGTATTGGTGCTTCGGCCCATTGTGGTAGAAAGGTACACAGAGCTCCTGTTGAGTCAATGTCTGTGTGTCTGTCACCTCTGTGTGTCATCCTTGTGTAAGAAAAATGCATGGCAAAAGTGTTGCACATCTGCCTGGATCAAAATCCTTTTTGGAGCTTTAGAAACGCCCAGGGGGAAAAAAAATCTTTCCTTGAAGCACACTTCTATTAATCATCTAACATTTGTCTGTCTTGCTTGGGATCACTAATGTGAAATTAATCCTTGCTTCAGGTTTTTTTTTTCTTTTTTGGTTTCTGTACCAGGGATTGAATTAGTAATTCTCAAACTTTTCCACCTTCGATAAATTAATTTCTGTATCTGGCTTTTACTGTCGGGATGCAGACAGAACTTAAGATGAGGGTTTTTTGTTTCCCAATTTGGTAAGGAACTCTCCCTGTGTCGGGATGTCACACCCCTTCGCTCATTATAGGATGGGGGAGGGGGTCTTGGCATCATGTTGGGAGAGAGCTGACGCCTGTGTCCGTGCTTCTTGTTTTTCAGAGTCGCTGGCTGCCCTGGATGCCTGTAGTGGCCGTGCTGGTTGCCGTGACAGTGGTAGTGCTTTACCCAGGGTTGACCAAGGCCTCTCCCTGAGCAAACTCCCATCACTCCCACAGTGCACCATCCTCTCCATAGCCTTGGCTTCTTCAACACCAGGACACCTGGGCCTGCACTCCACCTCCTTACCTCTTAATGAAAACACAGCTGTTTGAGAGTATACCAGTAGGGTCTCTGCTTTAACTATATAAAATGTAACTATATATATATAGAGGGAATAAAAATTGTGACTTCTACTCTAGATAATACTTTATCTGCAGTTTTCCTTGTTATTTTTTTTTCAGTTTGTTGGGAATCTTAATATGGTGGCCTAAACTAGGCTTTTTTTGGTACCAAACTATTTTTGTGAGTCTTAGACGGATTTCTAATTTTTGGAATGTGGTTCGCCACATCAGGCAAGAATGTGGTGTTCCAGATATTGGTTTCAAAGCCAATGTCTGCTTATATACACAGGGCACAAGGGGTTAAGTGCCTATCTTAGCTACTAGGTGCATAATTACACAATCCATTCATCGTTGATGTGCCATTCATGTCCTTACCATGGCAGGTCAGAGGAACAAATTATAAGAAGTAGCCTAGGGGAGGAAAAGATGACAGCACTGAATAGGTGGAAAGAAAACTCTCCTCTTAGTGAAAATATATGCTTTAACCAGTGTGTTTGGAACAAAGTATCTGTACATTTGTGTATAGTACCTTTAGAACTAACAATCATACATTTTAAGAACACTACATAGTCACTTTGCTAGGAAAACAAAAGTTTATTTTTGCATTTAATATGTAGTATTGAGGCACTTATATAAAGTTCTAAGATGTTGGCTTCAGTATATTCTTTGTTTTGTGATATCTTGAACCTGAGCTGAGACAGGGACAAAACCCTCTGGGCACCAAACAGTGTAGTTTCAAGTGCAATCTTACCACATGTAATTCACACACCTGCTCCACATGTCAGGGCTGCATGGCTCTGTTCTACAGAACCGCGAGTATCAAGCTCTTCTTTTGCATATAATTGATCAGCCAACCTTCTCCAAAAGCTGAAAATTGTTAAACCATCTGTTGTGATGCAGTTTCACTTAAATCATTTTGGGTGGTAGTATAAGCAAATACTTTTAGACTGTTTTGTCATTATGCTCTCATCTTAAAAGCGATGAAGAGCCCGTATAAGGTTTATCAGGTTTTTACTCTACAGCCCATATTTAAACCAACAAGCAGTTATTTTAGTCAAGGGGTGGTAGGGTTGTGCTAAATTAAGTGTCAGTGATTAAATTCGGGTGGTGGATCAACAGTAAATATTCAGTGTTTGGCTTTACCTTGTGTCTGTGCATTGTTGTAAGTGAACAGCTCTTTTGGGTTATGGAGCCAAAACAATTAAACTTGTTCCACAGTTGATAGCTTTCTCATTATTTTAATAACACTGCCCCTGCTTAAAGTTCCAAATGAAAAGTAGACAGGTGAAAGAGGAAATGACAGAAAGCAGGAACACTACATCTGGATTGCTTAGTTATATTGTTCAGAAAAGCACTATAACATCCAACCTCTCAACCGGCCTTTTCCAACTCTGAATATTCACCAATTTTATGCAAGACACGTGCAATGTATTAGCTTTCATTTAGGAGCTGGTGTTTTTCTTATGAGCATGACAACCTTTCAAATGTAGTTAAGAAACTGCAACTAATGTACACCCTTTAGTCTGCTCACTCCTTTGTCACTAGACTAAAGAGATTTTAGTCAGCCTTAGTGTGTGTGTACGTGTGTGTGTGTAAATTTACACGATATATATCTATTAAAAGAGATGGAGATACTCACACATTCAGTGTGCTGCTGCTGAGGAACCTGTATGGAACAGTCTGGACATACTTTCAGTACTACATTAATCCTCCTTCCCCTTTCATTTGTTCTGAAATTTGTTTAATGTTTTCAAATTAAAGCTTTTACCATATAAAGTTCATTTATCTTTTTTACAACTTTAATTTTTTTATACTGAGGATAACAATGGTGCATGCACTTTTAACTACCTGTATCTTAAAGGATTTATGGAATGTATTGCATTTGACTAATTTTATCAGTCTGGAACTGTTAAAAAATCTAACAATTGTTAAACCCACTTCTCTGTAGATAAAGGTTATTTAGTAGTAGCGATAAAGCACTTTGCAGAAATAAGGATTTCTTGAAGCCATTTCCATTACAGCACAGTCTTTCATCTGCAGACAAAAAGTAAAATTTTAAAGTAAATTGCATGCACAATATATTTGCAGTGAAACTGATGCTAAAAGGTTAGAAAAAAATGCTCAATAAAATCTGATACAACTTAATTAAAAAATGTAAACTTTTCCTTATTCAATACCCAACATCTTAACATTATGAACTTAACAAGGCAAAACATCTTTAAAGGGGATTAGGTTTAGAGTGTCTAAAAAGTTTGAGTAAATAGGATTGTCGTGTATAAATTACAAACTTTTTGGAGGGTTGGTGTATCTAATGCTTTCTTTTAAGAATTGTCAGGTGTGTTCTGATAAGTCATTCATTTGTATAAGAATATCTACACAAACTGTAAAAATAATTACATGGTAGTTTGCTTTGACAATATCAAGTACAAAAAGCCGCCCAGCCACACACAACTCATGCCAATGGTACAAAGAGTACCGTCTGTACATAGTTTGTTTGCAAATATTGTTCTGAGATGCTGAACTTCCGAATTACATTTTTTAAGTAAATAATTGTTTAAAATCTATTTTGTAAAGATATGGAAAGTACAATAGAATTTCTGGAGTACAGATTAAACTATTTGCACTAACACTTGTGATGTGCATGATTTTAATAAAACAACTTTACTCTCCCTCCATGCGTTTTGATTCATTATGCATATTGCAGGGAAGACCACAGACTACAGGGCTGGATTTGCTTTTAGTTAAGAGTACAATAAGATCTCCTTTGGGATCTAGTGCCGCTGAAGCAATAAGTTCGCCAAGTAACGTCTTTTACACATTTTAGTGATGTAACATTAAGTTTCGTCTAGATTATAGTGTTTAGAACAGCCTCTGGCCCTTTTCTCAATTTGTCTAGTGTATAGTTTTCCCCTTATTTAGTAAACACTGTGTTGTTGGATCATAGTGCAAAAGTTCAGATTGTGCAAATGAATTGACATGTGTTGAGTAAATCCTGGGCCTGTTGTAAAATACTGCCAAATCTACTGGAGAAAATGTTGGTATCGATTCCATATTTTGTAACTGTGATGAAATATTGGAATTCAGATGACTATCACTAATAACTGCAACTATTCTCATGTTAAGTACTTTTTGGTGTGACTCATTAAGCTTTTAGGAGGTTTGATGTTTGCTGAACAGTATCTCACTGTTAATATTTGGCAAAAGGAGCTATTTAGCATTTTGGCAAAAGGATGTTTGTGACTTTAAGAACTTGATTACTAACAATTGGATCATTTTAACTCACCTTTGATTACTAAGCTCACTAAAAACTATTGAAAACAGAAGTTGAATTCCCCATCCTAAGTGAGACAGAAAGAAAAAAAACAAAGGAAATGTAACCGTTTAATTATCATAGCAGTAATTGCTAGGAAATTTTGGCGCCTGAAAACTGCTGGCGGTATGATTATAAAACCAACAAATCTGTAAATAACACATTTACAGCAGAGGGCTTGGGTATCATTTAAAGATGGTGGCTGTGCGTTGTGTGCGAATGTGGGAAGAGTACAGACTATGAACTAGAATCAGAACTCCCAGCGTACACAGGGTAAAGAAAAAGGAGAGCTATGGGCATTGGAAGACCAACCCTTCCACATATAGAACTCCTCTGCGCAGTACATTACAGGTGAAAGAGCCTTCTATCTGCATGACATCTGCACTGCTAATGGCCTGCATCAACATTCAGATGGTGGTCTTTTTATACCACCCTTATTAATGAGCTTTATTACTTAACTGGACTCTTTCGTTGTTTTAGTTTGCACATGAAAACCACATGCCTTGAAAACTCTCCTTTTCTATATTTTTATTGGAACTGAAAACCTTTGGGAGTGTGGAAAATGTGGAATCGTAGCACAGCTTTCAACACAAACACCAGGTGGCAGCACTTCACACTATGGGAAAAGGCTTTATAAAGTTGTTTCCACATATTTGCATACTAATACTAATAATGTGGTTCAGTGTTGGTGGTGAATGTATCTTTATCATTTAATGTGATTTTAATTTTAATTCTTGATCCAGTAAATAATTGGACAAACAAGTGCATTAACCTACAGACATTAACTTGAATATGAAATGCTTTTATGAAGACTGTCTTATACACCTGTGATTCATGCATGTAGATCTTTATTGCTGATTGTGTGGTTACTTTATTTCTTAAGATTTGTACACCAAAATACTACTGAGGTCTGTGGAAGCCTTGTCTTTAACTTTGCAAAATATTGGTCTACGAGAAGTGAGGATGACATAAAGAATGTTTTAAAACCAACAGAGTATTGTGAAATAGTTCTTATTGGAGGTCTAATTTAAGACTAACAAGTTCAAGTTGATGGAATTTAAGAAGCTGTTAAATTCATTTAGCTTCAGCTATAACTTTGTATGGTGGTATTTCTGGAAGGTCAGAAATGTCCTCCCTCCCAGTTCTTATAAATGAGCCATTAAGTGTGTAATCATTTCCCTTGTAGAAAGAGATCGTCTTGGATTATTCTGTGAGGAAACAGCGTGGTACAGTGATAAGTTTCAACCATGAAAAGCGAGGAGCAAAAACAGGAATTAATGGGCAAAAGAGCTGATTAGCCAAAGCCTTTCAAACAGCATCCTGCTGAAGTTAAGAGGCTGCTTCTTGCCTGAAACATTTTTTAATCTCTTATTCGTTGTGAACTCAAGTGCATGTTCACGTTGCATTTTGGTGGAGAAACCAGCGTATAACCACTGTAACAGCAGGGTTACCTTTGAAACTGCTAATCTGGGTACTCCTGATTGGCAATGTTCACCATTCAGGCACTCATGTCTCCCTTTTCTGTTTGGTGAGGCACCAAAAATGATGCCATTTGCCTTTGACCAGTATGTGCTGAGGGACATGATTCACACAGCACCAGAGACATCAAGAATGGGACCAGAATATGATGAGGAAACAAAGTGGTGGGCATTTAGAGTGGAATTCACTCCATTTAACAGGGGGGGGGAACCCCAAACCAGTTGCAAAGTTAATTATGTTCCTCCTATAAAATTCCCACCAAGACATTGCTGGTGTGTGTATGACCGAGGTCACTGCCATCATGTTGCCAGGCTTGCCCTTTCTGTGACCTGTCTACATCTCTGAGCAGGCTTTCCACAGCAACCACAGAGCACGAGCACATTTCCAGGAAGTGCTCATGGCAGGGTAAGCAGCATGATTAGACAGAAAGTGCACAGAAGCCTGAGCTAATTCTGGCTCTCCCTTTTAAAGTAACAAGCAGGGATAACTGGGTGGTGTACAGAATCGGGGACTGTCATCAGGAGGCTCCATGTTGTGTAGATTTGCACCTAGGGCAGCCACACACCTTCCCCCATATTCCTCTAATGCCTTTTCTGCTCATCTAAGCAGTGGGCCTGCCCATTGTCAGACTGTCGCCCTCATGGAGAAAAACATTCATGTGCAAGACACCCACAAAGGCAGTACACACAGGAGCAGGTACCACAGCAGACCAAGAGATCTGGTGGTTAGGCATTTCAACTTTTATTTTTCTATTTTGACACAAGCCTACTGGTCATCTGCTGTGAACACTGCAGCACACTCAGCTACACCAAGGCGTGTTGTGTTGATTCGAACATACTTGCACTGGGCGCAGTACTGGAGATTAGATAAGGTCGAATGATGGAATGACTGGTGTGAGGAGACTGGGAATGCAGGGAATCGAGGTGAAATAGACAGAACAGCTGCAGAAGCGAAGACTTTGTCCGAGTGCTGCAGGTTGAGAGTTCTTTAGCCAAAAGATTGAAAAGAGGCATCTACCTTCAGGACCACAACTTTAGTGCCAATTCAGCAAAAGACAACTTGCACCTCTTGCACCACAGAACATAGGGAATAATTTGAGTGAATGGGAATATCATATAATGTAATTATTGCACTGTCTGAACTTCTGGGTTATACAACAGTGTATAGTTTGCCGAATTATGTATAATGTCTTTATTAGTTATGTATAACTATAAACAACTCTTATGCCCAGGTGTGACTCAGTTAACAGATAAAATCCATTACAGAGATGCTGGGCAACTACAATGCATTGTACTGAGAGGCTCATTGTTCTAAGAGTCATTTTGACTATGTACAGTACATTTACATCCACAGCTTTATAATTTAAAAATAGTCTTTACTTGATGAGCATGTACCATAAAATTAGGAACTAGGACTGTCCCTTTATCAAAATTCTATTTAAGGCTTGTAGATCCCCTGGAAACACATCCTCATCCAGCGGCTCTCCGGCTACGCAGAAGAATAAGAAAAGGTTAGGAAACACCTGCCACATCCCCTACAAGCTGCTTTTGATGTCCACAAAGAAAGGCTGTGCACGTTATTCAGTGGAAGTTCAGTTTTGTATACAGAATGGCTTGTTTACAAGGAGAGAGTGTAATTTAATTGCGCATGCCTGTTCACCTACACCTATACATAGAACTTGGTCCTGGTTAAGAAGAGGCTGTGAGGCTTCATTGATGATAACCACATTTTCTTTATGTCCAATGGCTTCTCTTTAGTCTACTCAGCTGTGTAAGTGGGAGGCAGAAATTGCTGGTTTGTGAGATCATTAAGCTGCAGTGGAGATCCATTCCCATCTAAAAGAGCTCTGTTATACATACAGCATATGGCTGTTTTTATTTTCACCCATTTATATAGCTAGATACACAGAGAGACTTTTAATGTAATAATGTAATGATAATGTTTCTTTATTAGCCCTATACAATTTCTTGCATTAGGAATTCGTCTTTTCGCATACCACACCTTTTCTCCATGGACAGGGAGAGAAGCTTGGGGTCAGAGCGCAGGGTCTGCCATTGTACGGCGCCCCTGGAGCAGTTACGGTTAAGGGCCTTGCTCAGGGGCCCAACGGAGTAGGATTCCTCTGCCGGCTGTGGGATTTGAACCGGCAACCTTCCAGTCACAGGCGCAGATCCTTATCCACAGAGCCACCGCTCCAGTATGTGTACAAGTGTATAAGGTACAACAGCAGTGTCTCTCCTGGAATTTTAACACATTACTTTCCAAGTCCCCAACCTTAAAATGGACTATACTCTGCCTCAATCAGCTGCATGGGCTTGAACTTTAACCTGACTTTTACTGGATTTGGTTTTGCCATGAACTACGAGTGCAATATATTGTTCCAGGGAAGCTAATCTTAGGTTTTTGCCCATCAATGGCCAAGTGAAGAGACACCTAGTGTTGGGTTACCTCGCAGTCAGGAATCTGGGTTAATTACAATGATTGGTCAGCAAAGCAATTCACATGAGCAAAAACGTCCCCAGAAGAAAAAAGTCAGTCAAGAAGGTATCCAGCAAACTAATGCTGAAGCAACAGGAAACCGAGATGATGTAAGTCATGCTTTTAAATACCACACAGTGTGCCAGACTGTTGTTACAGGAATGTTACAGTAGGTAGCAAAACAACAGAAAATGCTCGAAACTTGTGGCACTAAACGGTTATCATTTCAGGATCTGTCAAGAGATCAGAGTGAGTTCAGAGTCCCTTCAACTGTGGCCTGATTGTTCTGCTATCTCCTACCTCGCTAGAACAGTTTTAAATGTGATCACTAGCTGAGCATTAAGGCTCACTTTCAATTGTACAGCACATGTAACTACTGTTCCACAAACAAGAAACTCTGTTAGGACTGTATTTACCACCTTGCTAGTGAATCATAAAACAGCCAAAGGAGATGTGAGGAACCATATTTTTCAAAATGAAGTTTAAGTTGGTAAAAAGCCACCTAAATGATTTTGGACGTTTTTAGATTTTAGAAAACAAATTCTGTTTTTAATAAGTGATTATAGACTTAGTTTTGCAAAAAGTACTTTATGAGCAGAGCACTATAAAGTTTAATCTTATTTTTATTCATAAATAATTGGAAAAAATGGGTTAGTGGACAGAAAAATAGGATTGGTTTTCCAGGAACATTAATTCATCCAATCATGTCATGTCAATTCTTTGGCTATTGCTTATTATGTGAATCATTCATTGAATTTAACAGCACAACTTACCTGTCTTCATCTGTAACTGCATTTTGGAAAGCACCCATTTTAATATGTGAATGAGATTAGCCTTTACTTGTTTTGCCTGAATAATGAGAAATGAAGTAGACGACAAAATTAAACAGCTTTGGACACATCTGAAAGGATTTTATAGAGTGACGCCTGTCTCTGCTTGTGGAAATTCTTTGTAAATATGGCTGTTCTATTTTTAAACAACTGCTGAGCTAAAACAAAGATTTATGCTAGAAGGTTGTGCTCACTTGAGTAAAAACATATAGCGTTCAGCTTGAGAACACATGGGCTGTCAACAATACTTGACAAAAAAAATTATGTTCTAATACCATTGGAAGTGGAATTGTATGCGTCTCTGGACCATATTCTGTGAGAGAGGTAGGCAGAACTGGAGATCCACAGCCCAGTTGGTTTAACAAGTTAAGCTTAGACAATAAAGGTTCATTTCTGAAGACATACAGTAATTTAGTGCTCAGGCAGGTCATTTGTGTGATGAATTTAGAGATTCTTTGAAATGAACCACTGAGCATGCTGCAGAATTCATAGTTCATGGCAAAACCAAATCCAGTAAAGGTTTATGACCTTTGGAGTCACTTCAGTACTGCACATTTATTTCAGTAGAAAATAACCCGAAAGTTGGTGATTTTGGTAGATGACTCAGGTGAAACCGTGGAGCCAAATGTTATTTTTAGGAATGCCCTCATATAATGAAAGCTTTGGGAAATATAAATTCAACGGAATGTACATTTCTTCTTCTTAACAAGACATAGGATAATGAATTTGTTTCATTTGCAGGCCTTCCGACAATAGAATGACACATTCCACTGGAAAAAATGATTCAATCACTTGGTAAATTCCTAAAAACCCGAGCTTTTAAGAGCCCTTTATCTAAATGGTGATTAAGAGCACATCGTGCCACTGGCTGGACTGTTCTTCTCCGAGAAAGCCCAGCCCTTCTCGGTCTTACTGTTTGGACACTGTTTGAGCCAATAACTCCAGTATAGGTTTGGCAGTATTGATCACACCCAGTGAGCTATCGGCACTGCTTGAATGTGACACAAAAGCCTTTCAAATTGCAAAATCTGTTTCTCGTCTGACATGAAGATAAGGATTAATGTCAACAAAGGTGGGGGTGAAAGAAGGTGGTGTCTTGCCTCTTCTGGGAGGGTCTGCAGGATATCTATCATTGTGTACAAGGTGTGGCTCCTGCGTGCCCCCACCTACACAGCTACTACCTCATTGCACCACTGTAATTATCTACTTCGCTGAAACAAATTATCATTATTTAATTATTTCTTCTGAGATTTAGGGTTGTTTTACTGACTTGTGGTCTGTTTGAGACTATGGGGACTGTAATCCTGGATTTGATCTGCTCCTGGTGCCCATATTGTATCGAATAGGCTGTTAGATGATTCACTGTAATTGTTAAGTTTAACCAGAGAGTTTTTTCCAGGGGTGCACAACTCTAGTGCTGGAGGGACAGAAGGATCTGGTTATCTTTCTCCCTGAGCCCCTAATTACGTAATTGACCTCATTATTTGTGGAAAAGGCCAAGTAGAAGCCTTCTCTTGTTCTTGAGAAGCTGGAGATTACAGAGCCCTATAAAAACTGCCAGTGACGTCTGGACCTGGGCTCTCCTTTATTGTCTTGCATTAGACAGCGAGAGGCATTAAAACGCAGAAAATGAGTCTTGGAAATTGCAATCAGCAGCATTTTGTTGCGTTTTTAAATTCTCTCGATACGTAATTGCAGTTGTATCATACGTTTAAAAGATAAATGTTTGAAATATGGAGATGTAGAGCTCCTTTGTGTCTCTTCAATTGTGTACATTTATTTCAGAAGAAAATAAACCGAAGGCTGGTGTTCTTGGTTCACAACTCTGGCGAGATTGTGGAGTTTTTTCCACAATGAATGCACCCATACAATGAAAGCTTTCAGAAATGTAAATTCAGCGGATAACCGTTATTTTTTTTTCACAATTGGACAGGTAATGAATTAGTTACAGAAATTGTAACAAATGTATCGCAAGTGTAGCAAGAAAGGCAATGATTGAAAGTTGTATGGGATGTGAACGCTTATGCTTATGCTGACCGCTTTCATATGTTTTTTATGTACTGTGCATCTGACAACAGCAATAAGAGCGATATAAGTAAGTGACAATTACAGCTGTCAGATACAATGTGTTGCGACAGTATGTCCAATACTTTTTACTGGATTATAAACACGTTTCTTTCTCTGCACCCCTTGAAACTCCTGCTTTGATCATGTTTGTGATTATTAATTGCGTCTTTGGAAAATAACCCTATTTTTTTTTCTACTGAATTTGTCACATTCACTTTTCGCCACTGACACTGAAACTGAATTTGACTTTCACTGCGGGAGGGGGGGAGAGGCGGCGTCACCGTAACTCAGGTCCAGAGTTGCGCAGGCGCGACTCACATTGTGCAAGGAAAGACTCCGAGTTGCAAAAGGCACAGCGGTTCAAACGCTCGACGGAGAAGCCAGCCGAAACAAGTGTCCTCAGTGGCGAGAAAGGAACCCGAAATGCCGGTGACAGAGAAAGACCTGGCTGACGATGCGCCATGGAAGAAAATACAACAGAACACCTTTACCCGCTGGTGCAACGAGCACCTGAAGTGCGTGAACAAGCGGATAGCTAACCTCCAGCTAGACCTGAGCGATGGCTTGAGGTTAATCGCTTTGCTGGAGGTTTTGAGCCAGAAGAAGATGTATAGAAAGTACCACCAGAGACCAACCTTTAGGCAGATGAAGCTGGAGAACGTCTCGGTGGCTCTTGAGTTTTTGGACCGAGAAAATATCCGCCTGGTGTCCATAGGTAAGTCACATGCAGACGACGTGCGAGGGGGGGAGAAAAATAGAAAACGGATCCGTGTGATCAGTTTCACCTGACACCAAATAAAACCGGGCGGATGCAAGCGAATCGGAAGTTTCTAAAATCGATGACACAGGTGCTCTGTACCTTTAAAAGCGGGTGTCTTTAAGTTTAAGGATCACCATTTCTTTAAGGTTAAACTGCACTTAGTTGCTGTCTGTGTAACTTTGTGCCTTGTGCAAACATTATTCCGACAGTCCGAAGTAAAAGCGCATCACCTGTACAAATTAAATGGATATTTATAGGGTGAATAAAGTGCTGCTACTTTACAGTTTATTACTTAATATTGGGTATTAATGTTAGTTATTGCATTGTCCTTGAATGGTGTGGTTAGCTATGATGCTGCTATTGATTGCACTATACAACTAGTTTCAATGTTAAGGTACAACCTGAGTTCTAAAGTTGAATTAAACATATTGGAATATCCTAATCTTATGTTTAGCATGCTCAAATTGCTGGTTGGTTGGAAACAGAATGGGTGTCCGTGCACTGGGGTTTAGATTAAGGATCTGAAATCAGGTTGTGCCGCATTCTTATGCGGTTGTGGCGTTTTTGTTAATAAAGTACTGCAGAATGTGGGAAAGTGGGTCTCAGGGCGCTCTGTACCTTTCACTGGCTTCGCTCTAGAAGCTGCGCAATTCACCTTCGACCCTGGGAACCTCTGATCTCGGGTATTTGCCGGAGGCGTCATCAAGAACCGACCTCGTTTGGTTTCCGTTGACTGCAGTTTAGACTTGGGAACCTTTATTGTAGTATATGTATATATACTACTTGCAGTAAAAAGCCATTTTAAGTAGATTATAGACCGTCCAAGCTAGCAAATTCGTAGCCTTTTACAGAAAAAAAAGTTTAGGATTATCACATTTTTACGCATTGTGGTGCAGCGCAAAAATGTAACATTCTCTTATCTACTTAAACCACAGGTGATCGTGTGAGATTTACTTCCTTCGGAAACAGTTTGGATTTACAGGATTCCTATAAAAACGTTTCATGTTTTTATAGGAACACAAGGAGGTGTTTCACTTTAACACCTGTTGAGCTTTTTCCTATGATAAACTCTATCTCCCAGTGAGGTTGCGCTAAGAATACAGTTACTGCAGTATTCGCTACCGACTGGACTGGAAGCGCGCTATTAAATAGGGAATTTCACATAACTTGTGCCATGTATTTTACTTAGAATACACGTTTGTAAATTCGTGCGCTAGATATAATCATGGCTGCGCATGAAGTTATCTTTTTTTTCTAAATCACGTTTTTACGTATTCAAACATTCCCGATTTCAATTTTCCTTGTTTTCGGATAGGGATAACTTAAATTTATCAGAGAAAACAAAGCTGCACAGGAATTAACGGAAGAAGGCATGCTGTTAATTTACAGACGCGGTTATGGGCTCATCACAGTGGTCAGGATGACGCACCTGTTGTTTAAGATGGGGGGGCGGTATTCTTTTATCAGCACAGATACTAATCAAAGTAAGCATGACACTGTCTTAAGTCTAGCCCTCAATTAATCATCCGTCATCCAGGATGGTAAATTTGGGGGAAACCAAAACACAGGAAAACATAACCATGGAAACGCACCTATAGTGCGTGAGTGAAGGTCAGTTCGGAAGCCAGGTTCCTGCTGTCTCCATGTGTTGCTTGGAATGAGTAACTCGGAAACCCAGGAAGACAGGAAGCAGAGCTCACACGTGTTAAACAAGGGAAGGCCAGAAATCGGAGATATGCTCTCTGGCTTTTCAAATCTAAGGCAGTGGGTGGAACAGATCTTTATTACGGAGAAGAGTACAGTAGCCATTAAACACGCCTTGTACATAATGCTCTCCAACGGGCTGAAGAGTTTAAAGGTCGACAGTTTAATCGATCTCGCACTCTTATATTTTCTGATAGTGAAATAAGTTCTGCAATGTTTATTTTCTTCTCATCAAATAGAGAAAATTAGCAAGCTGTGTAGGTCTGATTGATGAGAGGGCTTACTCTCGTACTGAAGGCTTTATAAGGACACAGTGTGCTATTCAAAGAACTCATAAAACTGAACAATACTGCTCAGTGAGACTTTTTTGTTGTTGTTGTGAAGCTTCTGTTTGTCCTGTGAGTCTATTTATTCACACTGTTTATCTAAAAGCATTTTGATGGCAAAGGAGCAGACACCAGTTAGAACTTGTAGCCCTGAGTTTCATAAACTCATTTTGTGTATTACTTTTATTATTTTTACAGATTGTGCTTTGTAAAGTACAGTACGTGAATAGTAGGATGTGTGTCCTTTTTTGTGGAGAAATGACTGGCTGTTTACCTTTGCAGAGAGAAAACCACCATTATTTGTTCTGTAGAGTTGCTGTCAAAAATATTCCATGGCAACACTCAACATCAGGCAGGTGTATGCAAAAAGCATATTTTCAAGTAATCTCTACAATGGTGCCAAATCCTATAATGAAACCTTTAAACAACAGCTTTAATTCCAGAGTAAAGAGCACCTAGGACAGAGCTCTGAGATTGAATACCAAGTTCCTGTGCTTTTTAAATGACTGGAGTTAGCTTTGATCAAGACCTAAAGGATAAGAACTGGTCTCTTCCTGACCAAAGTGAATTGACACTTCCTGCCCTGTGGAAAATAAGCCTTTTTTCCTCTCCTTCTTGGTTTGTGGCATTAGTGTCTGGTGTTAGACATTAATGCCACAACCAAGAAGAGATCAGGCTGGGGCTCATGGACTGGAGAGGCTGAGCAAATAAGAGATAAGTTGAGAAAACTGGGGTGTTTTGAGACAGTCTGTGTTTAAGGAGAAACATTGCCAGGTCTACAGTACAGTTTGTGTTCCTAAAACAGCTGATGTTGGTTCTGTTTCTAACTTTCATTTTTGTCTTAATACACTCTGTTAAATCTGAATAAACCTGTGGAGATGGCGTTTGTGCCAGAGGCTGCCACATGTTCAAATCAAGAAGACAATAAAGACCCGCCAAAATGTGGGGCATCTACTTGACCAGTTTTGTTGGTTAATAAACTGATTTGTTTTTATTAACAAGAGGTTCTTCTGACATCTAATATGTAGGACTGTACAAACTGCAATGCCTGTGTTATTTAAATCCCCTTTATTTAAATAGTCTAGAGACGCATCATTGCTTTTTATTGAACAGAACAACTTTTCATTAAAAGTCCCCGGAGACACAAATTGGTCTGAAAGTGATTTTAGATTGGAAAACTGGAAGGATCAAGCAGTTGGACTTGAACAATATTAGCCCAATAAATTAATGTGATTTTCACATTCTTCATAACCATCTGTCTACCATCTCTTTTGACCAGCTAACATATGAAGGTGGATGCTCTGTCCCATTCGTGTAATATAACAGAGCTGTAATCCCCAGACCAGATGTTTTTGACATTGTCTGTAGCAAAGCTGCTTGGAAATAATGCTGCTAAAATAAAATATCTGGTTGTGATGAACGTGATCATGTAATTTAATTGCTACAGTTTTTAAAAAAATGCATTGAGTTCACTGGATGCATGAATACCAGGGTCAATTTTGACACTTTTGGTGTTGAAACTTCTTAATGCCAAAGCATTGCTTACCTTTTCTGCAGAGTTCTGATACTGCTATTGCTCGAGTTGAATTTGATCCATGTCTGCATTTCAAAGCCCCTCTGTATTCTTTATAAGGGATGGAAACTACTAGTGAAAATGAGTATATCAGTATTGTGTTACTGTTAAAACCACATATGCCCTCCATAAAAGAAAATTTCAATACCAGAAGCTTTTGTCAGAGGATTTAGCACGTTATATAAGTGCATTACATTTTTTTTTTCAGAAATAGCAATGAATGTTTAGGGTGTGAGACTTCCTGAAATTGCCACAGTGGCTTCTGGCTTGCTTTCGCTTGAGCGCCTTAGTTGTTAAAAACGAACCTTGGCGTAAAAAAAAAAGAAAGATCTTTTAACAAAACGGTCTGCGGAAGAGTAAATTGGATCAAGGGTGATTAGACAGCTCCCCAGAAATATCCACCTTGACCTCAGCCGAATCGGCTTCTGCTGGGAGCAGTTTGAGAGTTATGCATTACTGCTGCAGAGGCTTGGTGAAGGGATAGTCACATTATAACAATTTTGTGAGCCATAGTACTACTGTAGGCGAACGGATAATTCACTTCACCAGCTTCACCAGCCTGCATGATAAACCATTCCAAACCGTTTGTCTTTCTTTAGATTTGCTTTTGTTTTTCATTTTGTTGCTGCATCAGTGCTCTTTGTCAGGCCTCTTCATTTTTATTTTGCTATGGCTATATTACTTAATGCCCAGTTCTTCTGCTGCTGGAACTGCAGGTGTGGATTCTAGTTACTGCTGCAGTGCAAGGTTAAGTGAAATATTATTAAATGCCTATTGACTGTTGGCTATTTATAAAGGTATTACAGATCAGTCGGGATGGGACTGAGCTCTGGTTTCATTCTTGTCAGTGAAGCGCATTGCTTCACCTGACTTGCTACGCTAGTTTCAAACCAGAGTGCCCTCTAGAGATACTGCCCTTCCCGAACCAGTTACAGTAAAGAAAACCGGCTGTTTCAGGTACCGTGAGAAAACAAACCGCCCTGACTCGGAGCTCGGCACAGACTTGTTCAGGGAAACCTGCTGTTGGAAGGTTTTGAAAGGGTTTAACTGAGGTATCTCGCAAACGGAATGGTAACATCCGGAATGGCGGAGGAATTTGGTTACATTTTGCTCTGATTTCTTTCCAAAACGTACCCAAGCTCTGCTTCTTTCCTTATTTCAGATGGCTAGCCTTTTGCGAACTCCTTTATTGGGGTTTGCATTAAAAGCTCACACATGTAAAGTATGCTGTATTATGTTGGAATGTTCATTTTTCACTACTTTTTGGAATTGTACTGTAGCGCCCACGTGAGGGGCTTAACAGCTGCTCCGTCGCCTTTAGCCATGCGGACACAGGGCAGGCTGGGAGCAGC